TTGGAGCTATGGTGAACTCGGGCCTCCCTGGAGCCGCCGCCGCCGCTGCCGTCACCGCAGCTAGTGTCTCTCAAGAGTGAGGGACGCTGACGAGGTGAGCGAGGAGGCGGCGGCTGAAGCTGCGGGGACAGCAGCTACGATGTCGGATACGCGGCGGCGAGTGAAGGTCTATACTCTGAACGAAGACCGGCAATGGGACGACCGAGGCACCGGGCACGTCTCCTCTACTTATGTGGAGGAGCTCAAGGGGATGTCGCTGCTGGTTCGGGCAGAGTCCGACGGTAAGGTTATTGGAACGGTAAAATAGGGAACGGTGCCTCCCGTTGGGGCACAGCCTGGGGTTTAGGCCCTGAGCTGGGTTACTAGTACCTCCACTTGGGACGGCGCATTGGTTTCGAGCCTGCTCTTCTGTACGGTAAAAATACACTACTTTGTCCTGATTTGCTTTCAGACGCCAGTTCTGTTTTCCCCGCCTCCCATCTTTCTAAAGGATTTGACCTCTTTTAATTCCTCTTTAGAAGATGGGGATGTGTGTGTGATAGTGAAGGGATGAAGTTAGCTTGACACCTTCCTCCTTTATTTATTTTTATTCGTTGTATGTCTAGTAAAGATTTAGTGAAACTTCTGAGTGTTCCTTTTTACTGATTTTTTAAGCGGGTCTCAGTTCCCATAGTCAACAGGTGCGTGGGAAATCCAAAAGGCACCTTTCAAGAGGTTATTGCATACTGTTGCCAAGATACGTGCACGCACAAGCACATACATCTTTAGCCTGGGATCTCTCCAGGCTGTCTTTGTAGAGGATACTATGAAAAAGTGGACACCTCACAATATAAGTAAGTTAGAGCACCAGAACAAACTGTAATGTCATATTCGTTGACTTATTGTACGAATCGTCGATGTGAAAATGTAGAGCTCTAATTGAAACGTTTACACTGTAATCTCAATGCTTCGATTTAAGCAACTGATAAGTGCACGTTATAGAAAAATAAGTCTTAGATTTATTCCTTAAGTATTTTGTACTCTTGTATTTTTTTCCTTTTATTAAAAAAGTTGCTGGTATTTATAACCACGTAAAGTATTTTTCCTTTTGTTCTTGACTATAAAAGGGTAAATGCAACTCTGTAACTTGTATGCTGAGTACTTAGATCTTTGTCGTGGTTCTTTGTAATTTGCTTTCTTTGTTAAACTGGAAATGCAATAAAAAAAACTTTTGGTGAAAAGAGTTTGGCTTCAAGTGGTCATTTAGACCTTAAAATTTTCATTTCAATAAAACTTGAACTGGCATCTAGTGTCTTATCTTCTTGATCTGAATGTTGGGTTTAGATGGATTTTTTTCTATTGTTTATGGGGATAGTGTGAAATATTCTAAATTAAAGAGAATATGTGAATTGCAATACATCATATTCATGGTGAAGAATACGATGAAGAGACAGGAAATGTTTATTTGCTTTAACATGTGATTTCTTATTTTTTATTTAGGATTTTATAATTTGAGACTTAAATTTTTTAATTTTTTTTTATTTTTCAGGATCACTACTCTTGGAATCAAAGATAAATCCAAACACTGCCTATCAGAAACAACAGGCAAGTAGTAGTTTATCTTTAATTTGAAAGGCTTCATCTGTGACAGATGGGAAAACTTTCCTGACAAGAAAAAACATGTTTGATAAAGTTACAGACATGGGTATTTCCCTTACAGGTTAAAAGTTTCAGTTAAAAGTGCAAGTTTTTGTACTGGCAATAATTTATTATCATCTTTGAACTGAGCTAGTGCTTATATTAGAATATAGTATGTTCATTACTTTTTTTTTAACAGTAGTTAGTACAATCTCTAGTATGCACTAAACCTTTTATTCTGAATCACATAAAAGAAAATCCAATGGGATACACTCTAAAACAAGGAAAGCCTGTTTGTGGTGTGAAATTACAATAAAGCTTTTAAATAAAGGTAGAGTTTTTGAAGTAGAGGCATTTAAATCTTGCTCTCTAATTGTATATTTTTATTTAGTAATCAATGGATATTTTACAAAAGTGTACATTGCTGATTATATAACATTTTCTGTTAATATTTATTGTTTTATTGGAAATGAAAACCTGTGTTTTAGCATGCCTAAGTAATCTGAAAATAGTGATTACTACAGATTCTCTATATTTTGTGACTTTTTATTTTGTGGATTATATCAAGGTTGAAAAGTACAGAGAATAGCATAATGGGTGTTTGTAACAGCTCCAGATTTAATAATATTAATGTTATACTTTGTTTGAAATCTTTTTGTAATATTGAACATTATGGACAGAGTTAAAGTCCCCTTTGTATCCATTCCATTCTACCCTTACTCCATTTTCCCCATAGGTAACCACTATTCTGAAGTTGCTATGTATTCTTTCTGTATGTGCTTTTATAGCTTTTCTGCCTATGTATGTATCCATGAATAATATGTAGTCTTGTGTGTTTTTAAACTTTACACAATTGATACCATACTCTTACATGTATGCTGCTTGCATTTTTCACTCATTTATTTTTAAGATCTATTCATGTTTACAATGTAGACCTAGTTTCTTAAACACTGTATAGTATTCTGATGTATAATATACATTGATTGATAGACATCTGGATTCTTTCTAGTTTGTGTGTAAATGTGGGATGTAAAGTCAATGTGGCAGAGATTTTTAAAGGAAAAGATAAATTTTAGGGTAACATTTTATAGCATCATTGCCTACATTCTTCAGGGTCTAAGAAAATTTGGGTACCCAGAAACATACTTGGAGGAATAAAATTATGTCATTAACACAGCTTCTTAATAGTAAAAGTTTTACTGTTAAATAGTTATTTTATGTATGTAGTACAGTCTTAATCGGTTCTTAAAGTAGTAAAATATTCTTCAATATAATTTTCCAACTTAATAGCTTCTTCCTCTGCTTAGAAATGTTATGTGTCTTTTTTGATAGAGAATCAAATTAAACTTTTGTCTTGAACACCTAAAGACATGTCCTCTAACTGCAGACATTTTAAGGTGTACATTTAACTTAGAAGTCAGCCACAAAAGATTTCTCTTTGTATTTACACTGAATTGTACCAGATAGCCACTTTTGATTTTTTGTTGTTCATTTGTGGGAAAAGAAATGCTAATAATTTTTCATCATTATTTTTCCCTATCTGCATTAATATAAAATTATGAAGAACTTTGTTCTTAAATGTGACTGAGGCATAAGTAATTCCCTACAAATTTACTTATAAGGCAGATTCTTCTCAGGTTGTGTATAAGATCTCTTACTCTTGTCACTATTGGAAAGAGGGTTGTTTATAAAACACTCCTCCAACATAAGTTTAAAATATACAGTGGTTCTGTGAGCACTTTAGAAACTTTGGGACCTAGTTTCATGTAAAATGTTACTCTGTTAAAAAATTAATTCTAGATAAATAACCTTTATAAAATTTTTTCTTGCTTTAGGGCATATGTGCTTACTAAAGAGAGAGAAAGTGAGAAAGCACCCTCAGAGGAGATGACTATGCCACAATTTATTTTTTAAAAATTATTATTATCTTATTTAACTTTATTACTTATTTATTCATCCATTTTAATTTGACCAGAGAGAGAGAGAGAGAGGAAAAGTGAGAAAGCAAGCCACCAGGTCCGGGACTTGAACCACGGTTGGCCATGTGGGAGTTCAGCACCCTTAACCACCATGCCACCTGCTGGTCCCTATGCTGCAATTTCTTCTCCATTCGCCCCCTGAGATTTTGGGTATGCACACATACCCATCTTTGTTTTTCAAGCTGCTGAGTTTAGGATTCAGCCACACAGTGGCTAGGTGGGGTCCACCTGCTTTAAGTACGGTGCCACTGGCTGACCCAATAGTATTCTTAGTTATACTATATAAAGTATTGGAAGGAAAAAAGTTTCATTTTAAATTTTTTCTGCCATAGTTTATTTTTTTTTAATTCGAGTGCTTTTTCTAGACATGTAGATGTATAAAGGAATTCTTAGGTACTGAAGAACATGGAGAAGCTTCGTATATAAAGAACGAAAGATCCGTGTGAGTGGGGTCGCCTGTTTTGTTTGTTTAAATTTAATCATTTTTCTAATAGAAATCAGAAACCTATTTAAGTCTTATATTTAACTTAGTTTCTTTCTTTCTTTCTTTCCTTTTTTTTTTAAAGAGATTTTTTCCTGTAGGGTCCTTGGTACTCTTCAGCTAGACAGAGAGACCAAGAGACAGAAAGCAAGAAATAACACCCACCCCCACCCCCGCCCCAGGGTGGATGGCCATGGCTCAATCCCTTCTCTTCCATTCTCCTCTTGGGATTTTGGGCCTACACTCACACGCACACATGTGCTCTGCGTGAGTTTTAAGCTGCTGGGTCCAGGACTTGAACTGTAGTTGACTACATGGCAGTCTAGCGACATAACCATTATGCCATCTGCTGATCCCAAACTTAGTTTCTTTGATAAATGCAGGTTTACATCAAAATCTTGTTGAAGTTGGATTACCAATTTATACAAAATGGGATTTCCAATACATTAACATTTTTCTGTGTTTGTTAGAATTATTATTTTTAAATGTCATTTAAGTTACCCATAAATTAGTCTAGAAAATTATTTCCAAATTTTATGTAAAATATTATTCATCAGTGATTTTTTTAAAAAATTATTTATTTAAACACCAGAGGGCTTACGTACTCAGCAGGAGAGAGAAAGGGAAAGAAAGAAAGTGACAAAGCACCCCAAATGGGCTATGGTCACACTGCAAGCCCTTCTCTAGTTCCTTCTTGCAGGATTTCAGGCATGTACACACACACCTGTTGTATTTTTCAAACCTCTGGGGCTGGTGCTCATACTACCTAGTCGACTGTGGGATCCTGCCACCTTC